GTCTCTTATTGGGAATGCAATCTTTAGCCCAGAAAATCTGCTGTGGGTGGAACATTCACTTCCAGATTCCCCATTTTCCTTTGGATTTTGAAAGATCGATCTGAACTCTCTCTCCTTCCCCTTGGCACAGTGGATCTCTTTGTGCACAATATCCGCAAAAAAGGAGGTGGTGCTATTTATGTTCATTGTCCAAGAAGCGAAGGGAAAAAATGGTTTACAACCCTTCCTTCCTTCTTTCCTCCCTCCCTCCTTCCCTCCCTCCCGTCTCTCCCTACCTCCTTTCTCCTTCCTTTTTTTTCATTTTTTTCCTTTCTTCCTTCCTCCCTCCCTCCCTTCCACTTTTCTCTTTCCTTCCTTGGTCTTTCCTCCTTCCATCCTTTTTTAACCTCTTTCTTTCCTCTTTCCCTCCCGCCCTCTTTTCTCCTTTCTTTCTTCCTTTTTCATTTTTCCTTCCTCTCTTGCTTGCTCCCTCCCTCCCTCCCACTTTTCTGTTTCCTTCCTTGATCTTTCCTCCTTCCATCCTGCCTTTTCCTTCTTCCTTTCCTTGTTTCCTCATTTTTGCTCCCTCTCTCTTTTCTCCTTCCTTCGTTTTCTCATTTTTTTCCTTCTTTCCTCTCTTGCTCCCTTCCATCCTTTCTTTCCCCCTTCCTTTTGTTTCCTTCCTTCCTTCCTTCCCCACCTTCTGTTCCATTTTTTATCTTCCCTCCTTCTTTCCCTTTCCCCTCTTCCTTCTTTCCACTTTTCCTTCCTTCCACTTCCTCCTTTCCGTCAAAATGCAACCAGGGCTAGAAGAGCAGGCAGAAGGCTGTGGGAATGAAGAGGAGGAGGGAGAGAGGAAAGCAGGCGAGGCCCGCCCAACACAGCCTTCCAGGAAACGGGCCCATTAAGAGGCTGCCTCTCAATTGGAGGTATCCCTGACCTCCCAGATAGATCAAAGCTTCATCTCTCTGACAGCGACAAGACGACGACGTGGCTTGCCACGGGCTTTCTGCCGCTCCCACTGAATCTTTTTGTCTTTCAACTGCGCCCGATAGCTAGGAGTATGTTTTCAAGGCTGAACAGGTAGCCAGGAAGGGCTGCTGTCTTTTGACATTTTCGCTAATCCCCATCAAGCCTGTGGTTAAAACGGCGTGATGGCGGGCCCGCTGGCCAGCGGAGAGCCTGCCTTCCCCACATATGCGTCCTGTCAGGTCCAGAGGATGTCCGATCGTTGAAATGAGATTCGGTGAAATGGATGCCGGAGCATTAAACTGACTTCCTAACCTGTTGAGACTCTAGAAATAAAGTACAGAGAAGAGCAACCAGGATGATGAGGGGACTGGAGACTAAAACATGCGATGAACGGTTGCAGGAACTGGCCATGGCTAGTCTAGGGAAGAGAAGGACCAGGGGAGACAGGATAGCAGTCTTCCAATATTTGAGGGGCTGCCACAGAGAGGAGGGAGTCAAGCTATTTTCCAAGGCACCCAAAGGCCAGACAAGGAATAACGGATGGAAACTGATCAAGGAGAGATTCAACCTAGAAATAAGGAGAAATTTTCTGAGAGTGAGAACAATCAACCCATGGAACAGAAGTTGCCCTTGGAAGTTGTGGGAGCGCCATCACTTGAGACTTTCAAGAAGAGATTGGACTGCCATTTGTCAGAAATGGTGTAGGGTCTCCCATTTGAGCAAAGGGTTGGACTAGATGACCTATAAGGTCCCTTCCAACTCTGATTCTCTGTTTTCTGTTATCTGCTCTTGCCCTCCGAAGAGCTCAGGCAAACCTCCATCACTGTTGGGTGGTGGCTGAGATTTTGAGGTTGTGGTGGGTTTCCCTACCCCCGCCCCCACTGCACTAGAGTTTGTGGCTCAAAAATCTTCATGTACCCTGCTGGCAGACACTAAAAGCACCAGCAACCTAGTTCATCCCTCGGAGAAGATTTAAAAATAAAACCACACGTGGAAGGAATCCTGGTTAGATGAGTTGGTTTTCTCCAGATCTGTGCCAATATGATATATCCCATAAACCTGTTCTTTTGAGGAATCTACCTGCCTCGGAGTTTTGCTTGCTATGGGTCTATTACTTGGAAGTGTGACACAGATGTTAAGTGAACCGTGGTTCTAAGTGAATCCAGATTTCCCCATTGATTTTGCTTGCTGGAAGCCAGCTGGGAAGGTTGCAAATGGTGATCCGAGGACCCCGGGATTGTACAACCATTGTAAATACATGCCAATGCCCACGCGTCCAAATACTGATCGTGTGTTAGTTGGCATGCTACAGCAGTCACTAAACAAATGATTTGTAACTCAGTGGTCACTAAACAAATGATTGTAACTCAGCTGCCTGTATCTGGATATATTGTTTTACCAATGCATTGTTGATTGCCAAAAAAGAAAGATTTGCAGATTTTTATATTGGATTCAGAATTAGAAATTGTTCACCATCAATTCTGGGCTTATTCTAGATGAGGTACCTCAACCTGATCAATAAAAAAATATATAATAAAATAAAACGAAAAGGTTCCCTCCACAAACTTCAAACAAAGTTGTGGGGGGAAAAAAACCCTTTTGCCCGAGTTCATAAATTCTGAGTGACAGAAACCAATATTAGATCTAGGAGATCAAACTGAATTTATTTTCTGCCTGTGAAGTTTGAATTTGTGAATTTGACAGGTTGTTTTAAAGGGCACGGGCACATAAAATAACATGAAAAGAAAAGACTCTTTTACCTAAACGAGAGTTGAAAGTTACTTGTCAGAAGCTGTTAGGAGTCGACTGTGTTCTCTCTTGAAGCATGTCCTTTCAGTTGTCAGTTTTAAAAGGTTAATACCGAATAAAAGAGCAGTGAAATTAACCTTCCATTGTGTGGCTGGGTGCCTTCCCTTTCAAAACAACAGGTTTGCACGATAAAATAAGCTCATTTTCTAAATTACCATTTGTTGCACTCAAACCCCCCCCCCCCTTTTTTTTTTTTTTTTTTTTTGCTATTGGTGAATTGCTACTAAAATGGAAAATTCCAGTTCGTGAAAAATTTCTCGGCAGAAATTTAAAAACAACAACAAGTGACTTGTTCTAAGCCCACAACTGAATACACCCTGTGCGCATACAATTCGGTGCCCTGTACGAAGAAGGCCATTGAATTGTATGTGCCCTGCTCACATGGCACACGTGTATACAGGTAGCCCTCAACGTACGATCACAATTGAGAACAAAATGTATGTTGTTAAATGAGAAATTTGTTAAGGGAGTTTTGCCCCGTTCTATGATTTTTCTTGCCGCATTTGTTAAGTGAATGACTGCAGTTGTTAAATTAGCGATCCAGGTGTTAAGTGAATCTGGCTTCCCCATGGTGATCATATGACCCCGGGAACTGCAAACCATCATAAATGGGAGTCAGTTGTCAAGCATCTGAATGTAAATCACGTGACCATGGGAATGCTGTAATGGTCGTAATTCCCTTTTTGCAACCTTCCGATAAGCTAGGTCAATGGGGAAGCCAGATTCACTTAACAACCATGTGACTAACTTAACAAACTTTGGTGATTCACTAAACAACGGAGGCAAGAAAGGTTGTAAAATGGAGCAAAACTGTTCTGACCCAAATCCTTTTCCAATAAAACAAACACAAACCAAAGGGAACAGAAACCTTTTAATGATTCTTACGAATCCCCGGTTAAAAAGGCTGCTGCAAACTAATTAACTTTGATAAGCACGAGCCTCTGCCAAAACTGTGTGAGGTTGTCAAGAATAACAGATAAGAAATGTTTTACAACACAAGAGTCTTCAAATACCAGCTTAAGATACTGCAGTGTCCACGAGGCTCGAGTTTCAAAACGTCTTTGCTTCCTGCAAAGAACGTCCGATTCACAGCTGGCTTTTATCTTCTTGAAGGAGGGGCCATTACTTTGCAGCCTTACTCCCGAGTCACCCGTGCTGTTGCAGCTCCTCTTTCCTGCAAGCAACCCTGCGCGCACTTGGCACAGGCTCCTCGGGTACCTCCTCATCGCTGCTGACAGCTCCCACAATCTCTGAAGGCAGCAGTCCACTCCCTAATGGTCTTGGCCCCTCATCTGAGTCCTTGCTCTCCACAGCCGTCCGCACCTGCTGCTGGCTAACCACAACAAAAACTCACTTAGGTCTTGCTCACTTGTCTTGCTTAGCAGCCGAAATTTTGGACTCATTTGTGGTCATGTACTGAGGACCGCCTCTATACATTGGTTTAATGAATAAAATAAAAACATGCCTGTTGCTAAGCAACCACATTTTGGTCATGTGACCGGGCGATGCTACAATGCTCATCAGTGCCAGGACTGGTCTCGAGTCTCTTATTTTCAGCGGCTTCATAACTTCGAACGCTCAGTAAGCGAATGCTCATAAGCAGGAGTGGGATTCCATTGTTTTAACAACCGGTTCTGTGGGCATGGCTTAGTTGGTGGGTGTGGCTTGGTGGTCATGTGACTGGCTGGGCGTGGCCAACTCAACATCACTCACATCGAGGGACGCATCTCCTCACCTGGCCTCTCGTGACTGGGGATGCTGCAGTAGTCGTAAGTGTGGAAAATGGTCATAAGTCACTTTTTTCAGTGCCATTGTAACTTTGAACGGTCACTCCACACAAGCAAAGTACCAGCAAAGGAGGGAAAAAAGCTCTAGAGAAGTTCCTGAGACAGGAAGTCTAGTCCTGCCAAGAATGTAATCAGGGTTAACGGAGAGGCAGTTTCTGTAAGCAACACCAGAATGTTTCCTTCCTGCCTTCCTTACAGGATTAGGCCAGTAATTTCTTCTAACAACCAATTCTCCAAACTGCTTAGAATGTTAACAACCGGTTCTAGTGAATAGGTGCGAACCTGTAGAATCCCACCCCTGGTCGTAAGTCAAGAACTACCTGTAATTTAGTCCAACCAAGATGGATTGCCATCAGGGAGGTGCCATTTTTCTCCTTTTTCAGGTATTGCTGGGAAAAAATGAATTCTGTTACGATCAATCCTTTGCAGAGAACTTTACTGTAATTTCTCCAGGTGGAACTGAAAAGGAAATACAACGATCAACACTCAAAAGCCAGGGGACTTCTGACAGGAAGCCAATGGTATGAAATCCAGGCCTACAGAGCTCTGAACCAAGCCCTCGGCAGGTGAGCGAACCTATTCAGTGAAGGTTATTCCTTTGGCTCTCCATCCTCAAAGTCTTTCTTTGAGCTCTGCTGACCGTTCCTTAAAGCAAACACTGCTATCATCTTGGAACTTTGGTTTTAGCAATAGCACTTAGACTTATATACCACTCTGTGGTGTTTTACATGACTCACTGAACAACTGCATTGATTCGCTTAACAATTGTGGCCAAAATAGGGCTGTAAAAGAGCAATAGCACTTAAGACTTATATACTGCTTTGCAGCACTCTCTAAGCGGTTTACAGAGTCAGCCTGTTGCCCCCAACAATCTGTGCCCTCATTTTAACCAACCTTGGAAGGATGGAAGGCTGAGTCAACCTTGAGCCGAACTGCTGACAGTGGGCAGAGTTAGCCTGCAAGAGCAATAGCACTTAGACTTATCTACCGCTTTATAGTGCTTTGCAGCCCTCTCTAAGCGGTTTTACAGAGTCAGCATCTTGCCTCAGCAATCGTTTTACCCACCTCGGAAGTATGGAAGGCTGAGTCAACCTTAAATACGAATTAGTTGCGAAGCTTTCCAATTTTGATCATGTGACCACGGGGATGCTGCAACAGTCATAAGTTTGAAAATGGTCCTAAGTCACTTTTTTCAGTGCTATTATAACTTCAGTTGCAGGTTGTAAGTTGAGGACTATCGGTATCTGAAACCAGACCCGAAGCCAGTATCCGATTCTCTTGTCTGTGGAGATTCTGAGTCATCCAGATCACAGTTGTACCAAAGGTGCTTTTTCAAGAGGCAACTGGACTTTCTTGGTTTTTTTTCCTTGAAGATGTTTCACTTCTCATCCAAGAAGCTTTTTCAGCTCTGACTGGATGGTGGGGAATGGAAGGAATTACATTCCTTGCAGGCAGCTGGTCATTTGCATTCCTTTTAGCGAGTCGTTGAGGGTACCTGGAAGGATCCGTGCCCTCAGGGCCTGGTTTAAAAGAGGGGTCAAAGAGGCCATCTATGTCAAAATTCAACACCCCTCTGTCAACAGAGAGAGAGGGATATAATGTCATCTATCTCCAGTATACAACACAATCCTTTCAGGAGTTCCAAGAAGGCTCCATACCCATTTGCACCACTCAGGTGACCCTGAGGACACAGACAAACCTCCAAGTGGCCTGAATGACTCTCTAAAATGAATGCAAATGACCAGCTGTCTGCAAGGGGTATAAATCCTTCCATTCCCCACCATCCAGTCAGAGCTGAAGAAGCTTCTTGGATGAGAAGCGAAACGTCTTCAAAGAAAATCCACAAAGTCCAGTTGCCTCTTGAAAAAAAAAAAACTCCTTTGGGACATCCGATTCTCTTCCTTTCCTGAAAGTTTTAAGAAAAGCTGATCATGGAGGGTTTTTTTTTTTTTTTTTTTTTGATGATGATGTGTTCTTCTGTTCCAGATGCATCCGCCACCGAAGCGATTGGGGAGCACTTATTTTAGTCGACGACCGTTTTGGAAAGAGCCCCAATAAATACACAGCCGGTAAGACATCTGATTATTTGAGGGAGACAGGCTGGCAAGGCGCAGTGGTGCGGTCAGCCTAGAGGTGGAGCTTTCGCTCACAATCTGGAGGCTCTGAGATCCTAGAGGCAGATATTTTTCACCCTGGGGCACACTGAGACTATATCTCGGCCCTCCCGAACTCCGTTTACACTGGCAGAGGGCTGCAGGAAGCCGTCACAGCTGAAAATGAAGCCCGGGAGATCCAGATGTGGCCCTCCCAAGCTCCGTTTTCACTGGCAGAGGCACCGTGAGCCGGTCCTTCACTCTTTCCAGGGCAGGCCAGATCTAAGCATCCTGTGGGATGGATGCAGGCCATGGACCTTGAGTTGGACACCCCTGGTCTAGTCTAACAAAGAGAAGAAACTAGGGGTGACCGAATAGCAATCTTCCAAGATTTGGGAGGCCTGTCACAGAGAAGAGGGGGATAACCTATTGCCCAAAACACCTGAAGGCAGGACAAGAAAAAATAGATGGTAACTAATCAAGGAGAGAATCAACTAGAGGTGGGATTCAGCAGGTTCTGGCCAGTTCTGGAGAACCGGTAGTAGAAATTTTGAGCAGTTTGGAGAACCAGCAATGGAAATTTTGAGTAGTTCAGAATACCACCTCTGACTGGCCCCGCCCCCTTCTATTCTCTACCTCCCATTAAGTCCCAGCTGATCGGCTGGGTCTCCTTTGGTTGCCCTGCAGGAGAACAGAGAACAGAGCTGGAAAGCAGGTTAGTTGGGTGGGAGAACAGGAGAACAGAGCTGGAAAGCAGGTTAGTGGGAGTGGGAGAACAGGAGAACAGAGCTGGAAAGCAGGTTAGTGGGGTGGGAGAACAGGAGAACAG